GCCTTATTGTTCTTCCCTTTTAAGTTAAAGACTGCTTTTAAGATTTTTTTCTTTCTCACTACATTTTGCAAATCTAGTTACAATAAGTCTTGGTGTTGTCCTGCTTTTGTTGATTTTGATGGGAGTTCTCTGTTTCCCCTGGATTTGTGTCTGTTTCCTTCTCTAGATTAGGAAAGCTTTTAACTTTGATTTCTTCAAATAAATTTTCTGCCCCCTTCTCTCTCTTCTTCTTCTTCTGGGACTCCTATAATACAAATGTTATTATGTTTGGTGAAGTCATTGAGTTCCCGAAGGCTATTTTTGTGTTCCATAATTCTTCTTTGTCTCTTTTATTCACCTATGTAATCTTCTGTTTCATTTATGCATTCCTCTGTTTTAACCATACTTATGTACACTGCATTCAGTCTGTTTCAAATCTCACTTTATTTTTCACTTCTGAATTTTTAAAATTTTTTACCTATGCCATAAGGGCCTCCCTTAAGACTTCCATTCTCTTCTCAAACCCAGTGAGTATCCTTACAATTATGGCTTTAACTCTCCATCAGGCATATTACTTATCTCTCTTTCAATTAGATCTCTGGCTGTAACCTTATCTTGTTTCATGCACCATGAATGCCACAGTATTAGCACTTTGACTAAGTCTCTGTCTTCTTTTCTGTGTTAGAAAAGCCTGTTATGTTTCCTGCTCCTAAGAGTAAGGGCTTCATCATTTCTGATATTATTTTAATCTTTTCTCTTTTTTTCCTAATCAATTTTGTAAACATTTTGCAATATTTTATTAGTTGTGTAAGTATTTTAAAGTCTCAGCTATTAGTTTCATTGATCTTCTGAAATTTCTATAGGCTTTATTTCTACTAGGATATTTCTTATTTCCTTTATTCTACTAACTTTGGATATTATTTGTTCTTCTTTTTTCCAATTCTTTTAGGTGTAATGTTAGATTGTGTATTTGAAAATTTTCTTATTTCCTGAGGCAAGCCCAAATCCCCATAAGCTTCCCTCTTAGAACTCTGATAATGTCAAAGGGTTGGAACTGATGTTTCCATTTTCATTTGTGTTCAGGTATTAAGTTCCTCTTTGATCCTTTTCTTGATGCATGTTGTTTAGCTTCCATGTATTAGTATCTTTTTTTTTTCCTTAAAATTGATTTCTAGTTTCATACTATTATAGTTTGAAATTATGCAGATATGATTTCAAACTTCTGAAGTTTGCTGAGACTTCTTTTGTGGCCTGGATTGTGTCTACATCACAGGGAAATGTTTCCTGTGGTTTGCTGTTTTGGGATGGAACATTCGGTATATAGGTGTTAAAGTACATCTGTCCTAATGCGTGGCTCAAAGCTACTTTTTTTTTCCTTATTGATTTTCTTTCTCGATGGTCTATGCATTGATGTGAGGTGTTAAAGTCCTTTACTATTGTTGTATTATTGCAATGTTTCCCTTTATGACTGTTAATATGTGATTTATATATTTAGAAGCTATTATAGTGGGTTCACAGGTATTTACCATTGTATGTTCTGGTTGCATCGATAACTTTATCATTATGGAATGCCCTTCTTTATGTCCTATTAGAGTCTATTTAAAATCTAGTCTGATATAAGTAATGCTAGCCAATCTTTTGTTTTGTTTTCCTTCCATTTGCATGGCATACTTCTTCCATTACTTTACTTTTAGTCTGTATGTCTTTAGGTCTGTAGCAAATCTCTTGTAGACAGCACATAGATGAGCCTTGTTCTTTCATCCATTCATTAATCTTATGTCTTTTCATTGGAGCACATAGTCCACTTACATTTAAAATAATTATTGATAGGTATTACTTATTCCCATTTTGTTGATCGACTGTTTTCGTAGTTCTCTTTTCCTTTCTTCTTCTACTGATCTACTTCCCTTGAGATAGTCTCTTTGGCATCATGTTTAGATTCCTTTATTTTTTGTGTATCTATTTTAGATTTTTGGTTTGTGGTATCCATGACGTTCATATGTAACATCCTATGTATATAGTAGTGTTTATTAAGTGGATGGTAGCTTAAGTAAGAACACATTTTAAAAGCACATTTTTATTTGCAAATCAATGTTTTATGATGTGATGTTATTTTTTACATCTTTTAAATTGTGTATCCCTTGACTAATTTTTATAGATGTAATTGATTTTACTACTGTCGTCTTTTAAACTTCATAGTAGCTTTAAAAATGATTGATCTACTACCTTTACTGTGTGTATGCTTTTACAAGTGAATTTTTTTCCTTTCATAATTTTTCTTCTAATTATGGCTTTTTCTTTTCCGCTTAAAAGATCCCCTTTAATATTTTTTGTAACATCAATTTAGTGGTAATTGACTCCTTTAACTTTTGTTTGTCTGGGACACTCTTTATTTCTCCTTTAATCTTGAATGATAACCTTGAGCCATAGGGTATTCTGGGTTGTAGGGATTTTCTCCCCCTTAGCTATTTGCAAGCCAGAAAGGAGAGGCATGATATATTCAATGTTTCTCCTGAAAATCCTGCTGATAGTCTTAAGGATTTTCCTTCTATGTAATTCTTTCCTTTTCTCTTGCTACTTGTAACAGTCTCTCTTTAATTTTTGCTGTTATAATTACAGAATTATTTAGCTTCGTATTGTTTGGATCTGCTTCCTGGATGTCTGTTCATTTGCCCAGATTAGGGAGATTTTTCAGCCATTATTTATTCAAATAAGCTTTATGCTCCTTTCTCTCTCTCTTCTTCTGGGAACCCCTATATAGCGCTAACAAACGTTAGGATGCTTGATGTTGGGTACAGAGGTCTTTTAACCTATCCTTTTTTTTTCTTCTTGCTGTTCACTCTGGTTACTCTCCACTATTCTTTCAGATTGCTGATCCGTTCTTCTGCATCCTCTAGTCGACTGTTCATCCAGTCTTCTCTCAAGTCTCGTGAGTATGTACATGACCATTTTTAAGCCTTTTAACAGATAGATTAGGAAAGAACCAAAAGAAACAGAAATAACCAGAGTTTTGTCTTGTTCTTGTTCCTGTGTACTAAGTCTCCTAGTCTTGGAAGTATTGACGTTAGGTGGAAGTATAATGTAGTGCCCAGCAGTGCAATCCCCCATGGTTATCAGAATCGGGTGTTCTAGGGGCATCCCCCCCTGTGAGGTGTATGCACCCTCCTATTATGGCTGGGCTGTGACTGTTTGCAAGTGCACTGGCCAGCAGGGCTTGCCCCCCAGTTAAGTGCCTGATAGGCCTGGCTACAGGGGCTTTGGGAGCACTTGTGGCTGAGGAAAGACCTCAGCCTGGCTGTTTGCAGTGACTCGGTGCAAAGACTTTAGGTGTGTTGATCGGAATATCCTCCCCCCCCCCACCCCCCCCCCCCACACACACTTTCTCAAAGCAGAAGTTGCTTGAGAAAGGCAGCAATAACTGGGGGGTTTCAGGACTCAACTATGTCTGCCTGGCAGGTGTGTTAGGTGGGGCAGGTTCAGGGGGGAGTACTAGGGCAGGGCATGCCTGTTAGCAAAATAAATGAAGAGTGTCACAATTAGTTCCTACAAGTGTCCAACCACCTAGGCTGGAGGGCAAGAGCAATTGGAGAGAGAAAAGATCCCTCTCCCTCCAGCACATAACAAATCTCCATGATCTTTCAAACCTTTTCTTTGGTGCTGGGTCACAGACTAAGTGACATAGCACACTCGTTCTTTATGAGCCAAGAATCATTTTACTATAACATTCTGGTTCTCTTGGACTCAAACCTTTCTAATTTTCAAAAGTCCTACTGCAGGGTCCCATGGCTGGGGGTACTCAATGTGGGATTTGACCAGCTTGCTTGTCAGGGATGATGTCCCTGCCTGTGATATCCTTTCCATATTTGGACTGGCCACACTATACCCATTCTGGTTCCTAATCATGTGTCTCCCCTTCCTATCCTTTTGATGTGGCCTTCTCTTTATGTCCCTAGTCCTTAGACTTAAGGGTTATTTGGGAGTGAGTTTATTACATGTAGTTTTAGCCTTCTTGGGTCCTAGGAGGACATGAGCTCAGCATTCTCCTACTCGGCCATCTTCCCCATTCTCTTCATTATCCTTTGGAATCATAATATATGGTTATCAGTTTGCAAATAAGTCACAATGGATATTCAAACTGTATAGTGGGGAGTACATTACTGACAGGGATTCCTTCATGATATAATTATGTGTGTGTGTGTTTATTTTTCCTGGCCATGCTTTAACAAATAACAGTGTGACTGTGTAAGATAGCAAAGTACATAACATGGGCCATTCAGTTCTGTAGTGCACAGTGTCTTCAGCGTGGGCACCACTAGACCATAGTGTCACATTTTGGTACTACTGAAATGTATTTACAAAAGGAGTATACCTTAAGAATGTTTCCAGTTTTAAAGATTCTGTTTAGCTCACCAATCAATTGGTAAGTTCATTCATGAATACCACTCTTCTTCATACAGCTATTTTCAAATCCTAACTCCTCATATTGCTAAGCTAAAAAAAAAAAAAAAAGTTTTAGCCACATGCTCCTCAAGCCTAGTTAGAGTACTGGAAGGAAATATTTTATTTCCTAGGGAGGAAAAAGCAAAGGCAGGGGGAACCTTGGATAGGAAGGTGAGATCTTGGACCATCTGGCGATAGTGTTAACTGTCCAGTGTTTCATTAAGAATTAATCTAGTTGGAGAGAGTGGAGAAAGATGGCCGAATAGGAGGATCCTGACCTCACCTCCTCCCACGGAAACACCAAAGCAACAACTACATGTATTGCAACTCATTCTGAAATTGACCTCTTCCACAGCTACAGATATAAGGGAAAGACCACAGAGAGAAGCACAGGATGGGCTGAGACAGAGTTGGGAACCACACTCCTGGAGCAGGAATGTACACACAGGAGAGAGATCACAGGTGTGGAGGAATAAGAGGGATCAAGCCTCACACCTGGGAATCCACACAAAGAAGATGAGCCTCTCCCCCTGCCCCCCCCCCCCACCTGATGTGTGGCTTTCAAGATCAGCTGGGCTTACCTCCAGGAACATCAGAGGGGTATAGAACACTGACTAGCTGCTCATAAGGAGCCAGTGCTTTATCATTCGGTCCAAGACTCAGCTCCAATGCAGCAGTTTGTAACGCACCTGAGTTACACAAGACAGAGATTTATTGACTAATTTTAGAATGTGTGCCGGAGAGACATGTATCAGCAGTTTACCCTGAGGATGGAAGAGCTGGCAGGTACTATTTGCATTGCCCTTTTTCAGCGTAGCTACCTGGAAACTTACTAGGGCCTGTTCTGACATTCTCCATTTACCTTGCTAGCACTCTTTGCCCCATTCAGGCAGGGGCCCCTGCAAAACAACTGCCAACTTACCACACATCCCATATGTCTCAGGACTATTGTCCTCTCGGGGTGACCAGCCCAATGCTTCACTCCGTGGCCAGCACCAGAGCCCCTAGAGAATCATTCCTGCTCCAGGGATGGGGAAGCTAGTCCTATCCACCAACATGGCCCCAGTAGTGAAATTCATGCCTCTCAGGCAGCTGTACCAGGTGCAAGTCTTGCCTGCCAGTGCACACAGGGTGGTCTGGTGAGTCACTGCTGACAGCCAGGATGAGCCTGCCTACCAGCATGCACACAGCCACTGGGGACATCTAGAGCATTTGGTTCTGGTGACCCGAGGGGATTGCTAACCAGGCACCACAAGACACCTACCTAAGGCCACACACAGAGACCCAATGAGGAGTAGAAGAATATGTTGCAAATGAAAGAACAAAACTTCAGAAAAAGAGCTTACAGAAACAGATAAAAGCAATCTACCTGATAAAGAGTTCAAAGTAATGGCCATAAAGCTACTAAAACGTGAGAGAAGACTGAATGAGAACTTCAACAAAGAGAAAATAGAAAAAGAATCAGATCTGAAAGACACCATAACTGAAATATACAATATACTACAAGGAATCAACAGCAGATAAGAGGACACAGAAGAATACAGCTGGAAGACAGGGTCCTAGAAAGCAACTACCCTGAACAAAAAGAAAGCCAAATTAAAAATAAAAGAAATGGGTTAAGGGACAAATTCAAGCATATTAAAATTCACATATTAAGGGTCCTAGAAGGGAAAGGGGCAGAAGACACATGTGAAGGAAGGACACCTGAATACTTCCCCACCTGGGGAAAAATCAGACGTCCAGGAAGCACAAAGAGCCCAAAACAAGATGAACCTAAGTGGCACACAACAACACATAGTAATTACAATGTTGAAAATGTCAAGACATAATCTTAAAAGCAGCAAGAGAAAAGGAAACAGTTACATTCATTTCAGCTAAAACTTTATAGGCCACTGGGAATAGCATGGCATATTCAAAGTGCTGAAAGAAAAACAAAAAACTTACTACCAAGAACACTCTAACTTCAATTCATTCAGAATTGAAGGAGAAACAGTTTCCCAGACAAAAGTTTATGAGATGTTGAGTGGAGAAGAAAATGCCATAGCTAGAAGTAAATTTCACTGGGTAAAGCAAACATGGAGTAATTGTATATCAGTCACTTATATCTACAAAAGTAGTCAAATCAAACAATACACAAAGAGGTAAAGTATGACATGTACAGAAAACATGGATGAGGAAGTGAAAGTACAGTGTTTTAGAATGTATTTGAACTTCAGCAACCATCAAGTTAATATAGACAGACTGCTAAATACATAGGATTTTATATGAAACTCATGGCAAGCACAAACCAAACACCTACAGTAGATACACAGCAATCGTGTAAATCATATCACAAGGGAAAACAACACGAGAAGAAAAAAGGGAGCAGACCCATAAAAATAATAGAAAAATCCCCATGTAAAAATGGCAACAAATACATAAATATCAACAATTATTTTAAATGTACATGGATTACATGCTCTAAAAGATATACAATGACTGAATATATTAAAAAAACAAAACCAATGATGCTGCCTATAAGGGACTTAATTCAGACCTAAAAACACATACAGACTGAAAGTGAAGGTATGGGACAACATATTTCATGCCAGTGTTGTGGGGCGGGGGGAGGTTGGGGTAGCAATATTCATACCAGACAAAATCTACTTCAAAATAAAGACTGTCAAAAGAGACAAAGAGGGCATGACATAATGATAAAAGGTTCAATCCAACAATAGGATATAACAACGGTAAATATCTATGCATCCAACATTGGAGCACCTAAATACATAAAGCAAATATTAACAAATTTAGAGGGAAGAATTTTTTAGTATGTATACACTAAGAGCAAAGTAGCAGAAAGAGAATTTACAAAACCAACCACATTTAAAATTGCATCAAAAAGAAGTCAATACCTGGGAATAAATTTAATCAAAGAGGTAAAAAAAACTGGTACTCTGAAAACAGTAAGACTTTGATGAAAGAAATTGAAGACAACACAAATAAATGGAAAGATAAACCATGCGCCTGGATTTTAAGAATGATGTTACAATGTCCATACTATCAAAAGCAATTGACATATTCAATGCTGTCCCTACCAAAATACTAATAGCATTTTTCACAGAACTGTAACAAATAATTCTACAACTTGTATTGAACCACAACAGATGCCAAATAGCCAAAGCAATCTTGAGAAAGAACAATAGCCCTGGAGAGTCTCACAATCCCAGATTTCAAACTCTATTACAAAGCTACATTAATAAAAACAGTATGGTATTGGCACAAAAATAAACACAAAGATTAATGAAACAGAAAAGAGAGCCCAGAAATAAACCCATGTTTATATGGTAAATTAATCTATGACAAAGGAGGCAAGAATATACAATGAGAAATAGTCACTTCAATAAATGGTGCTGGGAAAATGGAATAGCTACATTCCAAAGAATGAAATTGGGTCACTTTCCTGCACCCTACACAAAAATTAATTCAAATTATACTAAAGACCTAAATGTAAGACCCTAAACTGTGAAACTCCTAAAGGAAAGTGTAGGCAGCTAAGTCTTGAACACTGGCTTTTGCATATCTTTTTGGATATAACTCCCCAACCAACAGAAACCTAAGCAAAAATAAGCAATCAGGACACACACTAAAAATCTTTTGCACAGTGAAGGAAACCATAACCCAAACAAAAAGACAACCTACTGAATGGGATGTGATATTTGCAAATGATACATTCAATAAGGGGTTAATATCCAAAATATATAAGGAATTGACACATCTCAATGCCAGAACAAAACAAAAACACATAGAATCTGATTCTAAAATGCATACAAAGGACCTGGATGGACTTTTTTCTAAAGACAACATACAGATGGTCAACAAACACCTGCAAAGATATGTAAAATTTCACACCAGCCAGATTTGCTAAGGGAAGATCAGGCATAGCAAGTGTTGGTGGGCAAGAGAGGAGAGAGAAGTAAATAACTCAGTATTTATTGAGTATTTATGAGAAATACCGAGTATTACTGAGTAATACTGAGTATTGCTCAGGTACCTGAGTAATAAATCTCTCATGTACTGATGGTAGGAATGTAAATTGGTGTAGCCACTGTGAAAAACATACCTTGTGACCAAGGAATTCTACTGGCAGGTACCTGCTCAAAGAAAACAAAAACTCCAATATGTGTACCCTATGCTCTTTGTAGCATTATTTACAACAGCCAAGATATTGAAGCAACCTAAGTGTGTACTGACAGGTGAATGGATAAAGAAAATGTGGTATATAAACACAATGGAATAATATTGAGCCATAAGAAAAGAATGGTTATCTTGCCACTTACAACAGAGTTGGACCAAGAAGGCATTTTACTAAGAGAAAGAAATCAGAAAGAGAAACACAGCTATTTTATGAACAATAAAAATGAATGAGATCATAAATACACAGAACAAACTTGCCAAAGGGGAGGTTTGTGGGGAAACAGATGAAGTAGGGGAAGGGAATTAAGAGGTACAAACTTCCAGTTATAAAATAAATAAGTCATGGGGATGAAAAGTACAAAACAGGGAATAGACTCAAAAATATTTTAATAACTTTGTATAGTGACAGTAACTACACTTACTGTGGTACACATTTTATAATGTATATAATTGTAGACTTACTATGTTGTACATGGAAGCCAATATATATCTACTACACTTCAATCAAAACTAAAATTTAGGGACACCTGGGTGGCTCAGTCGGTTGAGTCTGACTTCAGCTCAAGTCATGATCTCATCCGTGAGTTTGAGCCCCGTGTTAGGCTCTGTGCTGACAGCTCTGAGCCTGGAGCATGCTTTGCATTCTGTGTCCCTCTGTCTCTGCCTCTCAAAAAAATTTAAAAATCAAATTAAAAAAAGAATTAATTTGGATGGAACTACAGTGAACCAGTCGGTGACAACAGCAGAAAAAATAGTGCTATAATTTTGGGGGTCATTAATCTAGCAGTAACTGATCATCTAGCTTCTGCAAATCAAGTGATTATGTGAAAACTCCTACAAGTGGGGGCTTTGTGTTACTCTTCGAAGTAACTGGGTCATTCTGTTTCCAAGTCTGATCACATTATAATTTCTGTGGCAGGGATCAATGATGTACCAAATAAGACTGGTAGTTAGAAATGGAATTAGACATGGTCTATAGTACAAAGTACTAGAAGCAAACATTCTATAGCTCCCATTTCAAGGCAGACGTCTTGAAAATGTTACAATATTTGGGTTTAAAAAATAGATTAGAAAGATTCATACTACGATCGTGTTATTTCCAATATATCAAACATGAAAAACCAAACTTTGAGGTGATGAAATCACATATATACTTGTCGCTTCTAATAGCCATTCGTAAAGTGGAGGAAATAGGAAAATATATTTTAAAATTCTTTTTGCGTATTATTTAAATTGCAGGCCTGACTTTCTAAACTGACCAGCTGCTAATCTGATGTGGAAGTCTTCTTTGTGCAATGAGTCCGCTGTTTCCAAGGCTTTTAGAAATGCTTGGTTTGCCACTAAACTATCTTCAATACGACATTCCCCGGAGCTATGTTCATCAGCGGAATAGTCCAAGTCTTCCCAGAACACACAACCCAGCATCCATGCATATGTACATGCAAGCATTTGCATACTACTCACTGTTTATGGATGTCAGAAGACATACCAAGTTGGAGACACAGGACAGTTGGCACTATTAATTACATCGTCATTAGGAATACCATCGTCCTTATTACACAAGGATGTTCTCGATGGTGATTAAACTTTCGGTCCAGCTGTTTCACAGAGATGATAGTGATGCTGCTACTATCTAAATCTTACTTACCGTGTGCTGAAGCTGTTGTAAGCATTTTCACATGCCGTATATCAACTTCTCTCACTAGTTCTATGGGGTTGCTACTATTTTACAGCAGACAAAGCTGCAGTACAGCGATGTTGAATACAACATAAGTGTACATAGCTATAAGTAAAGACCTTTGTTTCATGAAGTGTATTCAATAAATATGTGTAAAATAGAGGGATAATGACCACAGAAAGAAAGTCTGAGGCATGTTTAATTGAACTGCACATTTGTCACCCCCAGTACTCAAAGAATATCATTCAAACTATTTCGAATCGGCCTAAAATTTTTCAGAGCAATTCGAGGTTCTGTTCAATTCCATTAAAAAGTGAATTTTGTTTTGTTGTGCTTTAGTTTCATCTCAATACTGGAAATACTCTGACGTACTTTATATTGCCCTCAACCCTCTAATTGCATGTTTTGCTTCAGCTAGATAGTTTAAAAAAAAAATACTGAGGAGAAAATGAAGAAGTCTAGCTTCACAAACTTATTTTAAAAAGAGCACTGGGGTAGGGTCTGAATAAAGCTGTAAATGAAAAATAAGAAGTCAAAGATCCCTCTAACCACATCAGATAAAATGCTTAAACATGTTTCAGAATGGGATACTTTCAATCCAAATGTAATGAAAATAGAAAACTTCTATGGAAAAACCACATATGTTAACCAGTTGAATAAATTAGGCTCAACAAAACATGAGAAAGTACACTGGAAGAAATAATCTTGTTTAGAGGAGGAAATAGATTGGATAATATTATTTTGGAAAAAAAAAAACCCTAAAAACATGCCTTAATGTTGACTAAGTACCTAGATCCATTTCCTAGGATTTTGAGGAAAATAAAGTCATTATGTTTACTCCCACTTTTAACATTATATCAAAATTTGTATCAAAATTTAAGTCAACTTTGATTAAAACATAATATTATTAGTTAATATATTAACTTATTAATAAGTTAATATATTAACTTATTAATTTAACATAATATTAGTAAGTGAAAAGTAAGAAGACAATGTCTACACTGCTTTGGCATGGATATGATGCTTAGAAAGTAGCTGGAGGGTCAGGATTTAGCAACCGTATGCTAAATCCATAAAACCAGGTCTGAGTTTTTTAATTGAATATCTGTGAGGAAAGTATACTACCTTACTAAAGAGACAAATACACAGGGAAAAGTATTCGAAGATAAATTTCATAGTTAAAAGTAAGTGGGACTGTTCCAAAAAGGAAAAAAGTGATAGAGACAAGATTAAATCAGAGGAACCCTACTGATAAGAATGAAGAATATGTGGGATTCTTTAATGAGTTGGTCAACACAGTAACAAATGCCTTGCCTGATAATCCAACCGTCAACCAGCCTAAGGTCCTTACTATAATTAAATGATTGTGCAGTAAACTGTTACATCTGACTACAACCATATACTTTAGGCTCCAAAATGCCAGACCCCATATAATTGCTTCCTCACTGAGAGGAAAGGTAAAGGTAAAATCTTTATGAATGTATTCAGGAAACAGAAGCAAATGTGTACTAATTCTGAACCCTCACAACACAAAAGGTACAAAACAACATTGTATTAAAAATTCAAATGGGCCTTAGAGGTCCAAGATGGCAGCCACACAACCTACAACTACATATGGAGGAATGCCTCTTGAGGAAGAACTAAGGGGTGATTGAATGCTTCTGTACAACAGAAAGTAGAGGGAAGATACATAGAAAGGCAGGGTGACAGAGAAACAGTAACCCATCACTGTTGCTGCAAAATGCTGAACAGAGGGAGATCAGTGAGGGGCCCATGTGTAGATTTCTTGCCCTTGAAAAAAAAAAGTGATTTGAAGGACAGCTACACTTTAAGTGAAGGGAATCCATTTACTAACCCTAGAACTTCCCCACATGTGGGAGAATTACTGGATCTTTCTCCCAGCATCACAGGCACTGCCAAGTGCCGTAGTTTATGTTCCCCCTCCAACATGATAGCACAGACATAACAGTCTAGGTGCTCTAGCCAGCCTTCTAGGGCAGCCACAGTGATCCCTGGGCTCCCAGCCCATACTAGCTCCAGCTGGCCCACCAAGGGAACTATAGTGTGACCTTCATGAGGAGAACCCAAACCTGTTTCCAGTCTAACTCCAGCCACCTTAACAGGTGGCCTGCACACACCTGAGAAGCATGTGGCCAGTGCCCACTCAAATGCCATCCGTCTCACCACAACACCCACTGTATGGAGTACCCCAGCCTATGCCTGCTCTACCTCCAGTTATCTTGCCAGCATGGTCCAGGCATGGAGTACCCTTGTCCATACCCACTCCAGTCACCCTGCCAAGGTGAATGCAACACCCCATCAGGCATCTGTTCCAGTTGGCCCTCTAGGCTGGCCCCCATATGGAGTGTGCCAGGACTTCCAGCACATGCCAGCTCCAGCTGTAGCTATTCCTGTGTAAAGAACACTGCAGGAATTGCCTGCTTCAGCTTTAGACTTTCTGCCATTGTGGCTCTGGTGCAAAGCATCCTGGAGATGTCTGGTTTGGGGCTCTTACAGCTCCAGCTATCCTTTTGGGGTGGCCATAGTGCAGAGCAACCCAGGAACCAGATCCTACACCTGCTCTAACCAGCCAGCCAAAGCCACAAGGTATGTACAATTTCTACACAGTACGTTCCTACACAAGGCACCTCGTTTAAGACAGGAAAAGTAGCTGTTCCACCTAATTCATAGGAACAAATATAGAAAAGAACACAGAGTGAGAAAGCATAAAACTGTGTTCCAAATGAAAGAACAAAACCTTAGAAAGAACCACCTGAAATGGAGATAAGCCATCTACTTGGTAAAAAGTACAAAGTAATGATCACAAAGGTGCTCCAGGGACTTGAGAAAAAGGTGGATGTACTCAGGGACAATGTCAACAAAGGGACAGAAAATACGAAAAAAAATATCAAATTTGAATAAAATGAAAATTAGAATCAACAGCAGATTGGACCATGCAGAAGAACTGATCAGTGATTTATAAGACAGGGTGGTGGAAAGCACCCAAGCTGAACAGCAAAGAAGAATTTAAAAATTAGGATGGCTTAAGGAAATTCTGTGACGAAGTCAAGAACAGTAACTTTCACATTATGGCCCTCCCAGAAGAAGAAGAGACAGAGGAGGTAAAACACTTATTTGAAAAAATGATAGCTTAAAGTATCCCCAACATGGGAAAATAAGCAAATATCCAGGCCTATGAAATACAGAAAGCCTTTTCCAAGATTAACACCAAAGAGGTACACAAGACATATAATAATTAAAATGGCAAAAATAAAAGAGAATCTAAAAGCAGAAAGACAAAAAACCAAAAGTTACATACCAGAGAAACCCAATAAGGCTATCACTGATTGTTCAGTAGAAACGTTGCTGACCAGAAGGGTGGGACATGATATATTCAAAGGGCTGAAAGAAAAAACAGAAACAAAAATATAACCAAAAATATTGTGCACAGCAAGATTATCATTTAGAATTGAAGAAGGAATAAAGAATTTTAAAGAAAAACATGATTTAAAGGAGTTCATCACCATTAAACCAGCCTTACCAGAAACATTAAAGGGACTTCTCTATATGGAAAAGAAAAGGTCATCAGTAGAAGAAAATTATGAAAATAAAAAAATTTCATTGGTAAAAGCAAACATACAATAAAAGTATTAGATTAATCACTTACAAAGGTAGTATAACATTAAAAGACACTAATAGTAAAATCAAGTCTATCTAAAAAAATAAAGGGTACACAAAATGACATAAAATGTGACAGTTATATTTAAAAATATGGAGGGGGATAATAAAAACGTAGCTCTTTTAGAAGGTGTTCATACTGCTATATACATAGGATTTTATATATGGACCTCACAGTTCACAAAAGGAAAACCTATGATTCATTCACAAAGGTAAAGAGAAAGGATTCCAAACATGACACTAAAGAAAATCATCATATCTATCCCAAGGGAAGAGAAAAAAGAAGGAACAGAGAACTACAAAAAAAAAACCCAGAAAACAATTAAGAAAATGGCAGTAAGTACCTATCTATCAATAACCACTTTAATGTAAATGAAATAAATGATCCAATCAAAAGAGTATCTAAGTGGATAAGACAAAACCAAAACAAACAAAAACAAAAACGAAGTACATTCTTCCCACAATAGATTCACGTCAGAACTAAAGACACATACACTCTGAAAGTAAAGGTGTGGAGAAATATACTCCACCTAAAAGAAAGAAGGAAAATAAGGCTGGATTAGCAATAGACATTATGTATGTATGTACGTATGTATGTATGTATGTATATATGTACTTATTTATTTCATGTTTGCTCATTTGAGAGAGAGAGAGCGTGAGCAGAGGAGGGGCAGAGAGAGGGAGACACAGAATCCAAAGCAGGCTCCAGGATCTGAGCTGCCAGCACAGAGCCAGAAGTGGCGCTCGAACCCACAAACCCTGAGATCATGAACCGAGTTGAAGTCAACTGACTGAGCCACCCAAGCACCCCAGCAATAGACTTTAAAATCAAAACTGTAACAAGAGACAGAGAAGGGTATTACAGAATGATAAAAGGCTGAGTCCAACAAGAGGAAGTAACAATTGTAAATATCTGTGCTTCCAACACAGGAGGATCTAAATATAGAAAGTAAATATTAACAGATAATAAAGGAAGAAACTGATAATAATATAATAACAGTAGGGATTTTAACACCCCACTTGTATCAATGGATAAATCATCCAGATAGAAAATCAACAGGGAAACAATGGCTTTAAATGACACCTTAGACCAGATGGACTAAAAAGATATATGCAGAACATTCTATCCAAAATCAACATAATAAACATTCTTTTCAGGTACATATGGAACATTCTCCAGGATGTATCACATTAGGCCACAAAAAAAGTTTCAAACATTTTTAAATGGTTGAACTAATAAAGCTTATTCTCTGGCCACAAGGTTATGAAACTAGAAATAAATTTCAAGAAGAAAAAAATCAACAAAATACAAACAGAGGCAAATAAAAAAAAATATATTACTCAAAACCTAGAGGCTAAGGAGCAAAATCAGAGAGAAAATTTAAAAATATCTAGAGACTGACAAAAAAAGAAAGAAACAGAATGTTTAAAATTTGGGGGAATGCAGCAAAAGCTATTCTAAATGGGAAATTTATAGCAAAATAAGCCTACCTCAAAAATAAGGAAAAATCTCAAAAATAACACAATCTAAACTTTGCCTAGAGGAATTAATAATACGAACAAAGTCCAAAGTTAGGAGAAGGAAGGAAATCATTATGATCATGTAAACTATTAAGAAAATAATAGGGGAGCACCTGTGTGGCTCAGTCAGTTGACTGCCCAACTCTTGATTTGGGCTCAGGTCATAGCAACAGTCATGAGATTGAGCCCTGCATAGGGCTCCATGGTGAACATGGAGCCTGCTTGGGATTCTCTCTCTACCTCTCTCTCTGCCTCCTTTTCTCTTCCTCTCAAAATAAACAAACATTAAAAAAAAAAAAAAAAAAATAGAAAAAAATCAAAACTGAGGGTTGGTTCCTTGAAAACAAAAACAAAATTGATAAATGTTTATCCAGAGTTATCAAAAAAAAAAAACAAAAACAAAAAAGGAGGACTCAAATAAAAGTAGAAATAAAAGTTAAAACTGACACCCAGAAACAGAAATACAAATAATAAAAGAGACTCGGTAAAAATTATAAATCAGGGGCACCTGGGTGGCTCAGTAAGTGTCCAACTTTAGCTCAGGTCATGATCTCAGGGTTTGTGAGTCTGATCCCCACATTGGGCTCTGTGCTGACAGCTCACAGCCTAGAGCTTGCTTCACATTCTGTGTCTCCTTCTTTCTTTGCCCCTCCCCTGCTCGTCCTCTCTCCGTCTCTCAAAATCAAATAATCATTAAAAATTTTAAATCAACAAATTGGAAAACCTAGCAGAAATTGATAAATTCCTAGAAACATATCTTTAAAAACTGAATCAGGAGAAAATAGAAAACCTAAAAAGACCAATTACTAGTAATGAAATAAAATCAGTGATCAAAAGCTCCCAATGAACACAAGTCCAGGACCAGATAGCTTCACATATTAATTTTATCAAAATTTAAAGAAGAGCTAATATATATCCTTGCCAAAATATTCCAAAAATTTGAGGAAGAAACTTTTCCCAATTTCTATTATGACCCTGCATTACCCTGAAACCATAACCAGACAAAGACACTATAAAAAAAAGTTAAAATTAGGGGCGCCTGGGTGGCAGTCGGTTCAGCGTCTGACTATGGCTCAGGTCATGATCTCAGGGCTCGTGGGTTCGAGCCCCACATCAGGCTCTGTGCTGACAGCTCAGAGCCTGGAGCCTCTTCAGATTCTGCGCCTCCCTCTCTCTCTGACCCTGACCCACTTGCATTCTGTCTCTCTCTCAAAAATAAATAAACATTAAAAAAAAAAAAAGTTAAAATTACAGGAGCCCCTGGGTGACTCAGTTCATTAAGTTCCAGAGTTTGGCTCAGGTTCTTTGAAAACATAAACAAAATTGATAAATGTTTATCCAGAATTATCAAAACAAAAAACAAAAACAAACAAAAAAAGGAAGACTCAAAGTTAAAACTGACACGCAGAAACACAAATACAAATATTAAAAGAGACTCTGTAAAAATTACAAATCAGGGGCACCTGGGTGGCTCAGTCATTTAAGTGTCCAGCTTTGGCTCAGGTCATGATCTCATGGTTTGTGAGTTTAAGCCCTGTACTGGGCTCTGTGCTGACAGCTTAGAGCCTGGAGTCTGCTTCAGGTTCTGTGTCTCCCCCTCTCACTGCTCCTCCCCTGCTCACAGTTTGTCTCTATCTCTCAAAAATAAATAAAACATTAAAAAAAATTAAAATTACAGACTAATATCCCTGATGAACATAGTTACAAAAATCCTCCACAAAATATTAGCAAGCCAAATTAAGAGGATCATTCACCACCATCACCTGGGTTTTATTCAGGGGATGCAAGGATGGTTCAATATCTGTAAATCAATTAACATATATATCACATTAATAAAAAAAACCAAAAATCACATGATTATCTCAACAAATGGAAAAAAAGGCATATGACAAAATTAAACATCGATTTGTGATTAAAAAAAAAAATCTCAACAGAGTGGGATTAGAGGGAACATAGCTCAACATAATAAAGGCCATACATGAAAAACCCACAGCTAACATTGTATTCAATGGTGAAAAGCTAAAGATTTTTCTTTAAGATTAGGAACAAGGCAAAGTTGTCCACTCTTACTACTTTTATTCTGCATAGTACTAGAAGTCCTGGACACAGCAGTAAGACCAGAAATGAAATAAAAGTGTCCAAATTGATAAAATTGATAAGGAAGAAGTTATACTGTTACTCTTTGTAGTGACATATTCCATATAGAAAATCCTGAAGACTCCATCAGAAAACTAAACATATAAATAATTTCAGTTAAGGTATAGGAATCAATAATCAATATACAGCATCTGGTACGTTTTTACACACTAAAAACAAAGTAGCAAAAAGAAAATAAGAAAACAGTTCCATTTACAATTGCATCATAAAAAAATAAAATACCTAGGAATAAATTTAACAAAGGAGATGAAAGTCCTGTACTCTGAAAATTATAAAACCTGGATAAATCAAATCAGAGATGGCACAAATAAATGAAAAATATATACCACTAATAAGAATATTATTAAAAAACCTATTCCACTGAAACCATTCAGTGCAGTCCCTAACATGATACCATAGTATTTTTCACAGACCTAAACAAAAAAATCCTAAAATTTATAGGGAAGGACAAAACACCCTGAACAGCTAAAGCAATCTTGAGATAAAACAACAACAACAACAACAAAACAAAACAAAACAACTAGAGAGCTATCACAATCTCAGAACTCAAGCTATTTTATAAAGGTATAGCAATCAAAACAGTATGGTACTATACAAAGTAGACATGTAGATGAGTGGAACAGAATAGAGAACCCAGAAATAATCCCATGCTTATATGGTCACTTAATCTTCAATAAAGGAGGCAGGAATCCACTACAGGAAAGGCAGTCTTTAATAAATGGTTATGGGAAAACTGGACAACTACATACAAAAGAATGAAACTGGACCATTTTCTTACACTACAGACAAAAATAAACCCAAATGTATTAAAGACCTGTATTAAGACCTAAAACCACAAAACTCCTAGAAGAAAATATAAACAGTAATCTCTTGAACATTGATCTGAATCTGTCTCTTCAGGCAAGGGAAACAAAAGCAAAATAAACTATTAGGGCTACATCAAACCAAAAAGTTTTGCAAAGCAAAGGTAACCATCAACAAAATGAAAAGGCAGCCTACTGAATGGAAGATGTCTGAAGATGATTTAGCTGATAGGATGTTAATTT